GGGGGGGGGGGGTACTCATAGCCGTGCATGCCATAGTCCTTAGACCATTGACCTCAGAGGGTGCTTTCTGCTCGTGCTCTCATTCCGCGCAGCGCAGGGGCAGCAAATAGGAGTGGTGAGTTAAGGCCGGCGCCATGTTTTCTTCAGCGCGGTCGGTGGTCGTTTTTGATTTTTTGTATTGCTAACATTTAGTGGGCACAGCGACAATCGTCTGCTTTGGTTTGATTTGTGTAGGAGCGATTGTTTTACTTCCTGGTGGGGTTCTGATGTTGACTATTATAGTAGACACGAAGAGGTACAGTACTTCGATCACCAACGATGCGCTGACGTATTGGCGCCTTCTCTCTCTCTCTCCCTCCCACCCTCCCTCCCTCCTTCCCTCTGGTTGTCTCTCTTTCCGCCCGGACACGTCCGTGTGCGGTACGGCTTGCTTTGACTGGTGGTTTCGCTATGCGGGGGTTCCTTGGAATGATGGGTGGTCGCGTGTGACGGGACGGACGACGGGCGAAAAACCCACACAACAGGTGACGATCTTCCTGACGATGGAGCAGTCGAGGCACGCGAGGGACGCCCTGGCGAAGGCGGTGTACGCGGCCATGTTCGAGTGGGTGGTGGGTAGGACGAACGAGTGCATTGAGGCCAAGCAGGCGGAGGTGATGACGGAGGACCGCATTTTCATTGGGCTCCTCGACATCTTCGGTGAGTGACGATAGTTGTGTCAAGAGGATGGGTAGTCCATGTTCTCTCCAAAGCCAAGGAAGAAAAGACACAACGACTATATTGAATTTACCGATCCCCGCGATGTGCTTTGCCTACTTCCACAACCCAAGTTACTCGCCGATTTATCACCTCCTAGGTTGCCGGCGTTTCGATTGAGGGAGGTGATCGTGGCGATTGATACGGTTTTGTAGGTGTTTTCGTCTTGCCATTGAAACAAGCATGACCCCCACGAGACACTTTCGGGAGAGTCAGTGCCCCTCAGAATGAGAGACACGATTTCTGTGGTCGAAGACAGCGACACCAAGCACGGTGCGCAGGTGGTGTGAATGATTCATCGATTTGGTGATGCGGAGATGGTTCGGTGTTGCCGTGTCTTGAGAAAAGCTCGTGATACTCGTGATGATGGGCCTGGACGGGGTATTTTTGGTTCAAGACGCTCTCGATGGGGGTTGTTTTCAGACTTGCTGCGCGCGGCTAATATGTGATGCCTTCCTCTTTGTTTTCTCTCAAGTATGCTACAGCATAGGTTTCTCCCGCTGCCCTTACCAATGGAACGCTTGTGCCATGCCGATGCCCCGCATTGGCCTACCACTCGTGGGCCATTTTTTCGAGTGTACAACCGTCTGCCGACCCTCGCTCTGCCGCTGTTTCCCTCCCCCCGCCACCCGCGGTTGCAGGCTTCGAGATCTTCGCGAACAACTACTTCGAGCAGTTCTTGATCAACTACGCGAACGAGGTGCTGCAGCAACAATTCAACAACTTCGTCTTCCGCCAGGAGCAGGTGCGGTGGTTTATACAGTGCCCTGCGTATGTCTCTTCGTGCTCTCGTGCAACAACAGCTCAACAGGAGTTCTTGGATCGTTGAAACTGTTATTGGTATCGATCTGGTGTTTCGGACATGAAAGGATGTTAAATGAGACTGGCTGCTGTCGCCTATTCCCCACAAGAAACGTTGTCTGAACAGAGCAGATCTAAAAGTGCTTCTCTTTTTGAACTACGGTTCGCAGGAGGAATACGAACGGGAGAAGATCCAGTGGACCTTCATCGAGTTCCCGGATAACAAAGACTGCATCGAGCTCATCGACAGGAAGCCGAACGGAATCATCCCCACCCTGGACGAGCAGGTGCGTTGGTCGCGGTTCATCGGGTCGCGGCTAGTACGGTGTTTTTAACGGCCGTTGCTCGTCTCACCTTGTCGCGTCTTGCGTGAACTGCTATCTTCTTGCCTTGTGGGGAGCTTCTACCTTCGAAAGCGTCTGCCCTGCTGTAGTGCGGTCTCCCCTGAGAACTTTCTTTGTCACCCGGATTTGCTTCTGGAAAGAAACCCCCCTTGTAGTCACCGCGCCCCCTCCGCCATTTTGGTGTCCGTGCAGTGCCTCCTGGGCAGGTCGACCGACGACCGCTTCGCCCGCGAGATGTACAAGAAGTGCGAGGGTCACGACCGCTTCGAGCTGGCGCCCAAGATGCGGGTAGACCACCAGTTCTGCGTTCGTCACTACGCGGGCAAGGTGGTGTACAGCACCGAGGGCATCATCGACAAGAACCGCGACACCTTGCAGCAGGAGGGGGTGGACATGCTGCTGTCGTCTGGGTCGGAGTTCACGGTCCTCATGGGCGAGATCGAGGCCAAGTCTACCAAGGTTTGTAGACTAAGACTAGAACCGTTCTCGTGCGGTGTACTGCTGCTGTGTTGGGACGGCCATGGGATGATCGATAACGGGGTGGTTAGGTGGGTGCCGCAGCAGTGGACCGCAGCCACGCCATGTGAAGCTTTCGGAGGCTGGTGGGTGTACCACTGTTGAGGCGCCCATCTTGGTGGAACGACACGTCCTTCACGTTGCACCCACCACGTTTTCTCATATGAACCGGCACTTTCGTCTTGTTGGATGGAAGCTTCTGTTCGCCGTGCGGTCGACCCACAACTCATACCCCTGCAAATTTTCGCGGAACAAACCTCCGCCCCGCTTCTGTACAACTCAAGGGCAAGCCTCGCAGGTCGGAAAGCGGCAGTTCCCCTGGGACGGCAGGAGCCTCAAGCGCAGGCGGTGGAGGGGGTGGAGGCAGCGGCGGCGGTCGGCGCGTCGGCAGGCGCACGACCATCGGCGCCAAGTCCCTCGGCGCACAGTTCCGGGAGAACCTCAACAATCTCGTGGCCACGGTGGACAAGACGCACCCCCACTACGTGCGGACGATCAAGCCGAACGACGACCTGAAGCCCGGCAACTTCGCCTACGACCGCATCGCGGAGCAGCTGCGCAACGCCGGCGTGCTGGAGGTGGTGAGGGTGGCCCGCGCCGGGTTCCCCGTCCGCCTGGGCATCCAGGAGTTTATCGACCGATATGGGGTGCTCGCCCCGCTGGTGGTCGAGACGGCCTACAGGAATTGCGCTCAGGTGAGGTTGCGGCGGCGTGCGGCCTTGGTTGTTGGTGTTTGCGGTGGTGAGGGTAGTGCTTGTGGTTTCATCTACTCAAACCTCGACGCGCTTACCGTAAGGATAATCACACCCCCTGGGCCGAACTTCAAGGCTAGCTTTCTCCACAGACAGCAGAGGGAGTGGCGATGCCGAAAATGGTGGCGTTGGTAGCGTACGGCCTTCGAACAGAGACTTTCGAAAACATTTTTTTTACGTCGGGATGCTCTTCATCGTTGAGTAGTCGAGAGTTAAATGATCGTTACACGGGGTGTGATAACTCATGTCCCCTATGGTACGCCGGAAGTGAGATTGGGGCGCTCTCGTTAGCTCTGCCGGTGAGGGTTGGTGTGACTCAAGCTTGTTCCCCTTGTTCGATTTTTTTTTATTCGGCAGGACGGCGGAGAGATCGACCAAGAGTCGGAGCGTGCGGTGTGCAAAGCCCTGGTGGTATCGATCGTGGCCAAGGTGACGAAGGGGAAAGCGAACGCGTCAACGGAGGAGCAATTCATGGCCCTGTGCCGCGACGTGGGGATGCAGATGGGGCTCACGAAGGTCTTCTTCCAGCAGAAGGCGTTCAACAGCATAGAGAGACTCAGGTAGGAGCTACTGTTGTCGTGTGGGCAGTGCATTAATTGGTTGTGAGCTATCAGATCGTTTGGGCTTTTCTGATGCTTTTCTAACGCTTCCAATCAGTTATCGTGGTCAGTGGATTTGATATCCCATTGGTCGGTTAGTTGGTTGATATAAGCTGGTTGACGGAAATCAACTCAAATCTATTCAACCACAGCCAAGGGAACAACTCGTCATGGCGGGAATTTCGATCGGATCCATGGCCACAAAGCTAAGGGGTTGATTGTGCCTCAGCCGGTCAGAAGACTCCAACACGATATATAGTAGTTCTATGCAACACGGCACTACCGATCCCTCTCTACCACAGTTTTGTACCATAGCAATCCCTGTGGTTCGAGTGCCGCGATGTGGCAAAGTCGAAATTCCACGGAATTGTACGCGATAAAATACACAGAAAGTCTCGTGTCGGTTCGCCTCGATTTGTTTCGAACGATTCTTTGAACAATGCTCAAATCTCACAGCGTTGTGCAACGATGTGCCGCCCAAACCGTTCAAGAAAAATTGAGTGAATTTATTTTGTTGCTCTTGACCAGCCAATTGGGGTCCGGGACCCCCAAGAGCGGGTGCCATAAATGCAAAGTCACTTTTCATGAATTTTTCCATTTCGGGATAACGCAGTGGAGCCTTCAGTAAGGTTCGTGGGAAATCTTGTGAAGCTGACGCAACAGGGTGCTTAAAAACATTAAAGGGGCTTGATACGATTCTTCATATTACAATGAAATAGTGGGGGGGGGGGGTCATCTTTCATTGCACAAAGCTGAAAGCTTCACGCCGGGTTTATTAGTGAAGACTCTGACTCCGTTGTCGCCGAATATTCGGGGTCCCAGGAGGGACGGATGACCCTGGAACCTTCCCGAAACATCTAGGACCCCGAATAATCCGACGATAACAGACGAAAACAAGGAGAACCCCTCGACACAGAGTTTCGCAAAATTTCAGACCCTGTAACTGGAAAAAACGGCGTGAAAAAATCGTGTTGAACAACTTTGTTGTCATTTCGCGAACCAGTGTGTGTAGACAAGATTACAATCCATCCGATCGGTACCGAATCGAAAAAATATCCCAAAATAGCGTTGATGCACAACCGTTGTCTAGGTCTCGCCGGTTGTGAAATTGTTCCCCAGTACACGAAGGTGAAGGTCGGTCACGTAAGTCGTTTCATTCCGTACATAGTGAACTCAATCCCCCCCTCTCTCGGTCTCCTCCCCTCTCAATTTCTCACTCTATATGCCTCTACCTCTCGTGCGTATTCGGTTTCACTTTCCTCGTGCTCTGCAGGACGGCCATGATCTCGAACTCCATCACCAAGATCCAGACGGCCCTCCGCTGCTGGCTGGCCCGCAAGAAGTTCTGCCGGGACAGGAAGGCGGCCGTGTCGGTGCAGGCGTGGGTTAGGGGAGAGCAGGTCCGCGCGACGGTGGGGCGGGGGATGCAGGAGCTGGTGCGGAAGCGCAAGGAGAAGGAGGCGCAGGAGGCGGAGGCGGCCAGGCTCGTGGCCCAGGAGAAGCAGAAGCATTTAGAGGAGCAGGCGCTATCCGTCAGGCTCGCGGAGGTGACCTTCGGAGGGTGCCTCGAGTTATTGTTGCTGTCCTTGACCTTTAAGAATCGTTGCGGTCTCTACTCAGTACTACTATGTACGTCCGTACTGGTCCAACCGACTGGGGTTCCTTCCGCGGTCACAGGACAACAACCCGAAAAAGGGTACAGTACTCTAACACACCTTGAGTCTTGACGTTACAAATCGTGCGGGTTTCTATTGAGTACCTTCTAATATCCGTACCGGTCCGGCTGACTCGGGTACTTTCCGTGGTCGCAGGTCAATTAACCCAAAGAGGGTACACCTCTTCTAGAAATCAAAAGGAAGAGAATGCGGACTCAGAAAAATCAGCAAACAAACGCTATGACTGGTGTAGTTCTATGGGCGTTTTCCCTTTGTTGGGCACCTGTTTTGCAGGCTTCCCTTCTTTTTTTTTTCGTTCGACGGAACCATCGTGATGGGACGGAGCCCCCGGGGTCATGTTTGCCCATTAGGATGAGATTCATTCCTCGACAGCTCCGGCCCTGCTTGGGACGAAAGAACCCCCCGGCCCTCCTTTCAGGAAGGGGAGTAATTCTCTTTGACATCCGTGGAAGCCTGCTGAGGGTATCGTGGGCCATAACGCCCCCCAAGTTCTGATCCGCGGTTGCTCCTACACACAAAGTTGGACGTGGACTAGCTTCCGTGCTGGGGCTTGCTTTCTCATACAGTTGTTTGGACGTAGACCGTGGGGGATGAGTCTTCTACGATGTAAGACATCGTTGGTAATAATAGTAATAAATAACATATCGTTGGAGCGACCGCCATAGCGTAGTCCCAAGTTTTTTCTCGAGCCTTCTGTGCCACCTACGCGATCGTAGCAAGGTGCCGCGCGAGTTGGTACGCTTGTTTGATGCGCGGACCAGGTGCGAGAAGGTTCGGTGCTATTTGTTCAAGAGCTGCGAAGCTAGACTTGCAAGTGCGCCTGGGTACGGCGTTGTTCCGTTTTTTGGGCGAACAAGTTGTCCTCGCTTGCGGAAGTGCTACATGCTTCCGCAGCAGTTGGTGCGTGCCTCCTGCGGGTTTCGTTGCAAGCCGCGGTCTGTGTGAGGAGCACCAGCGATGCCAGTGATCTTTACCAAACGGTCTCAGGCAAAAAATTATGGGAAGGGACGGGAAAAACATGCTATGGTGGGAAGGGTGTTCGATTTTCTGCCTACAACACCGACGCCATCACCGATTCTAACTACCCTCCCCCCACCCGCACCCATGCCCTTGCTTGGTGTTCCTCCACACTCTTCTCTTGGCCATGCCGCGCGTCCAGCTGAGGGTCCAGATGCAGGACGAGATCGACTCCGTCAAGGCCGAGCTGAAGAAGGCCAAGTCCACCGTCAAGGCCCTGCAGGGGCTGAACGGCCGCAAGGTTGCCGTGACCGGCGCCCTTCGCGGGTGCGGGCCGGCCATCGTGAAGCGCCTGCTCCAGGAGGGCGCCGCCGTTATCGCCGCCGACAGAGGCATGTCCAACGAGCAGGCAACGGCGGCCGGCCTCCGGCCGGCAGGTGACGGGGATGGGGCGAGCGCGGCCGGTACTACCCCCGAGGCTGACGCCCTGGCGGAAGGCCGTCTGGTGTTCTTCGACATGGGGGGGGCGGGAGACGAGGACGGGGCGTGCCGGCTGTCCTCGCTGTGCGTGGAGTCATTCGGAGGGATGGACGGTCTCGTGTGCAACACGTCGGCGCCGGCAATGCTGGTCGGGGACGAGACGGGGGGAGCGCTCCCGAACGGCGCAAGCTTCGGCGGCGGCTCCGCCGGCGGCGACGGGATCGTGAACCCGCTCGAAGACCTGGAGCCGTCCGACTGGGCCGACGCGTTGACCGGAGCCCTGACAGAACCCATGCTGGCGGTGAAGCACGCGCTGCCGCTGCTGCAGGCCGCGTGCGCCACGGGCAAGGTTTCCGCCGGGGGAATCGTGAACGTGGTGTGCACGAGCTTGCCCGCGTCCGAGATAGGGCTGGCGGCGGTGTCTGGGGCGGGGGTAATATCGAACCGCGAGACTCTGACGGCCGCGGCCGGGGGCCTCGCCGGGCTGACGCACGCCCTGGCGTTGAGCTCTGGCCCTTACGTGCGCGTGAACGCGGTCAGCGTGCCGGAGGGCAGCGGCAGGCCGGCCGCCGGGATGACGTTGACGGCGCGCGGCGAGCGCGTGGGCAAGGACGCGGCGTCGGCCGTGACGTTCTTGCTGTCGAACCGCGCCGGCTCGGTGACGGGGCAAAATCTTGTGGTGGATGACGGTGCGGCAAGAAGGAAGTAGGGAGATTCCAGAGGGGTTTTTCTGTTGTCGTTTTCTTTATGGCGTGTTTTGTACTTGGGACTTGGGGTCGTTGAATGCCTTCCGGAAAAAATGCAAGGGGCGCGCCGTTTGAGTGGCTGTAGCCTGGACATTTTGCGGTGCAGCCGTTGTTTTCATTTGCTCTCTGGATGGGTACCATGGTTTCGCCTCATTGTACTCGTGCTTCCTTTTTTTTTGTCCGTTTTTGGCTTGCCCTCTCTCTTTGTGGGGGAGGGGGGGGGAGCGTGCTGCAGGGCAGGGTGTGTTGTGCCGTGCCCTAGTTGGTGTCGATCTTCTGTCGTGTGCTCTTCCTCTGCTTACGATCTCATCTCTCACTGATGTTTGTGTTTTTGTTAGATGTACGTCTTGTTTTTTGTTTGCGGGTTTGCAGACCTTGGCCCCCACTCCGCCGCGGAGTCATGTAGAACCTCCACTACGGCTGCCATTTTATCTTTTTCCTATTTTCGGTCAACGATCGCACCTGCTTACAACTCTTTGTGCGCCCTGCTTCTGCAGCAGCAGCTGTGGAAAATTAGGGTCTTTTATTGCGTGTTGTTGCCCTGGTGATGCCAGGAAGGCAGCATGTGCCAGCAACAATGCGACCAAGCGTTCGGGTGACCCCAGGCTCAGGGGTAAAGATATACCCTTGGATGCGATTACAGAGAATCTTGGAACCAAGCGTCGCTGAGGGGGTCAGGGGCTTGGGTAGGGTTCACCAAGATGTAGTACATTTGCATAGGATACATGCATATTCAAAACCCATTTGCAGTATGAATGAAAGCTGCTCGGCCGTCCGGAATATGTCCGGGTCGCCGTAAGCGCTAGGTAGGCGCGGTAGCGCAGAGGGCCTGGGGGGCGGGGGGCGGGGGGGTGACGTGTAAAGTCTAGAGTACGTGGGCTGGGTTTTGTAATCTAAAAACGAATCGAAGGGCGCTACCCGTTAAGTTGTGGTTTGTGTCTAACTTTCGAAAGACTGGCGAAAGGGGTGTCGACTATATCTTGGAGGTCAGTCTTTGAACGGTACACAGATATTTCCTTTATTTTTTGTTTGTCTCTGGGACCCTTGGAGTTGGGCGGCCCTGACGCTTGTATGACCCTAGCGTGTAGTGTAGGGATAAAGGACCGCTCTGATGGATTGCGAGGCCGTTGGAGGATAGCCTCCTCAGGATGGCGCTGTCCCGCCTGCCCGTTCCATCAAGCGGAGCAGCCCTCTACAACTATGTTTGCTTTGGGCGCAGCTGTCTCCTTGTATTTTCACGGGTGTGGGGGTGGGAGTGGGGGGGTGGGGGGGGGGGGCAGTCGTTGTGCCTAATCTAACATATTTCTTTCTCACTGTTTGCACCATGCAGTTTTATGGTGTTGGCTTGGGGATTTTTATAAGCTTCTTTCGAGCTCGAGTGTTGAGCTTGGATTACGCGATGTGAACAAAGGACGAACGAAACACGCAGGAGAGAGCTGGAATGTTTTTCAAAAACCCGCGGGAGTGTACATGTAGACGCGTTGGTCGCGTTTAAGAGCGCGGCGCGGATACATATCCGTGAGAACATCTCCATGTTCCGCTGGCCCATCACGGTCCTCCACACGTTCGTACAACCGCGCAGCTCCAACACAACGAGACGTCGCACCGAACGTCAGAAACTTGAATTGAAATATTTGTGTTTGTGTCGAAATCAGTGACGGATTGGGCATACTTTGGCGGCTAGATCGAGAAAGGCTGGTTTCCAAAGAACGCCATCAGATTCGATAACTGACACAACCCATGATGTGGCCTCGAAATGCAGCAGCAGTTCCAGACTGTAGTAGTTTTCTCCGACGGGGTGTGGTATCTAACGCGTTCGATGGTATGTTCCACAATCAACAACCAAAACCAAGGTTTGGAAAGCGGGAGATGACTTGCTCTTTGCCCACATGTTTGTTATACTGATACCTACGGTGACGTATGATTCGCGGCGACTGTTGTGTTTTACCTCTTCTCAAGCTATGCGTCGCAGGGCGCTCCTACATGGACGACAGTCAATGTAAATCCACGATCGCCATCAAGATAAGGACTGAAGGGGGGATAGGCTCAGTGATCACACGAGAAGCAGAAAGTGAGCCCCATCAAAGGGTGATGACCCTCTCTCCACAGAAATGTTATGCACATCTGCGGTTAATTTATGAGTTTCTATTGTAGTCTACTGCTTGGCGATCCGGATCATCAGCACATCTGCTCGCTAGTCTACGCTCTCACGCCATTCTTCATTTATCTTCCTTGTCAATTGTACTGATTGGTGGCAGACGACGACCAAACAAAGGAGTACGCCCCAACACAAACAAGGAACAATTCAGCATGATGAAAAGATAACGAACATGTAACGAACAACGGACGATAGACACCCACGAGAAACTGGGAAAAAAACACCTACTTGCTGTTGCTGTAGGACGAGACAGGGACGACGTGCTCCAGGATACTCGAAGAAACCCAGCACCTGACAGCACCTCTAGCAAACACACACACCCCGGTGACTCCAACGTACAACAAGTAGGAAAAGTAAAGGGAAGAGAGATAGTTGGAGAGAGAAATGTACCATTCCTCAGAATAGGGGACTGGAGTGAGGTTAGCAGTGAGGGTAAAATTCTTGTATTTAGACTGGTACGTGATTGCTGGGTCCGCTTGTTCCGCACACCTAGACACAAGACACCAGCATGGCACACACAATGGATGAGGGGCAGGTTATAGCGTGTCGGGAGGCAACGGCTTGCGAGTACGATGCGACGGACAACCCGCATGTTATTTCCGAGGCGCTGCTGTCTATCGCAGCCGCGATCCCGGAACTGCTGTATCGTGGCGCCATGGAGGCTGCCGCGAAAGCAGTTGGGCTCCGTTTTTGCCCACATGGGAACTCTTGTTCGTGGGTCTGCGAACATTGTTGTTGGATACATGTGCTGGATGAT